AGATTAACAGTATTTTCGAGTATAGCTGTTGTAGATGTTGTACCTAGTGACTTTGGTTTTGAGTAGTATCTTAACCAATTGACCAGAGGCCATAACGAACTTGGGTATTAGATCAACGTTCCAGTCCCTATTAGAGCCGTAGTCCGCTGGTGGCTTCGAACCTATACCAATTATAACTATTAGATTCAGCTAGTAATATTACCGGGTCTAAACTTATCCCATAGAGTAGTGAGATTGAGTGAGGCACAGTCACCACCATAGTAACCGTTCCTATCCAAATGAAGAACCTTTTTCCCATGGCACTGAAGAAGGAATGAGTATGGTATTTGTATTAAATAGTAGTGATGGTACCGAGAATAGGCCGGAAAGTATGCACTCCTTTAGACCGGTACCACACACGATTACGTCGTATTGCTCATCCATGGTGTTCAACTTGTCTATTATGTCAGTCAAACTGATAATCACAAGGGTCGTATCGATCAGAATGGCGCGCGCTACTAATCAGCACATTTTCTGCGTTTACCTTCGAAGATTCTTCCTCACCTCATGAAATTATCATTGGTTGTTGCCCTACTTCCTATAGGATGGGGTATTGACATTGATGCATTCTGTCGTCGAACACACGAGCTATTATGCTTTATTGAGATAAATTCGACCCCAAGGTATGCTATAGGCTTCCAAAAGGGACCACGGGGGTTTACCACAACATCTTGTGATGTTAAGGAAGCAGGCCCTAGGAGCAAAAGGGATGCTTTCACCCAGGATATGGCGGCTAGTTTGGAGATGGGTTGTCTACTACCATCACTTCCAATATCACCTTCAAGCCTTGAATATGCCTTCCTTGACGATAATGCACGTGTTGTTGACAAGCAAGAAGCCACTGGATTTTACACTAAGATGGTTAAACTGAGCAAACACCAAGTCGAGGAAATAGCCAGACGTGAAAAGAGCATCACCTTTACTTCAGCAGAGCCTAGTAGGCTCATACAGATCGATGAATACGGCAATATCATTGAGGGTGGAGGGAAGCAACGAGTGTGGAAGTGGTCCACGGGTTCTCGCCTTACAAGCGATTCGAGAGTGTACCACCTCAAGACAGCCAAAGGGGATGATGAATCAACTGTGGCATTCATTACATCCTACTACTTTATAATGATAGAAAAGACAGCCATTACCTTCCTCAGATGGTAAGTGTTGACTATTCTCGAATCGTATTATGATATTACACTTTCAGGACGCCAGATAAAGGCAAGGAAGAGTAAGCAGCACTTCCCGCTACTATTACCATTATTCCATGGTTAGGTACCTACCACCTCCCATGAAGCCGTAGGTCTCCTTTACTCCTTGCTCGTTATGATATTAGTAACGTTGTATAGCAATTTTCATCGAAGAATGTCGATAGACTAACTCGTATTCATGTCCAAATGAATAGGAATACTGACTTGCCCTCAGGGAAAATGGATACACCGTAGCTTCGGCTCCACCAATGGAAGACTAACCTCAAGTCAACATCTGAGGCTGAGAAGTAGAGAGGTGTGTGTGCATGGTGTCACTATGATGATGACGGATGTTGTTGTTGTTCGAGAGTACACATTTTGTTGGCATTCAGTGGTTAATACGACTGAAGTATACGGTATGATACCTTCATACTAGCCATTAAACATCTAGTAGCGCGATTCATGTATTCTCTACAATACGTTGTTGCATGATGCATCTCAGTGGGGTACACATCCAACACTATAGAGACTTTGAGTGCTGCCGGATCACCACGAGCACTATCATCATAAATATTCTTAGTAATATTGTCTTTGATATTAAACTTAAGTTAGCATGGAGTAAAGCCAGACATGGTTAGGTTCTACTACTACAGTATACATCTCATTATATGAAGTTGCGTCGTTTCCTCCTACGTTACTATCCACCAGGTATCGTCCTAGAGTATCAGAGACGGAATGGCGATGTAATCTCAGCACCTCGAGGGTTTTATTCATAATACTATCCTAGTGAGATAGATGCTATGTGCATCGCATAGGTCGACTTGTCGTGAGAGAATGATTATTATCAATAATAGGTTACAGATTACTTTGACCATTACTCTTCCCATTCAGATAGAGACTAAATCTATTGATCTTTTGACATTAAAGCCAGAGTGTGACGTCGATGCATTAGTCGATAGGATCATCCTTGAGGAACCTCTGTTATCCGATAGCAAAAAGGTAACATCATCATCATACTACTACTACTGAGTCCAGTGGCGCAGTGGTAGTAGTAGTATTATCAGCATACTACTCTTCTGTCATCTAGCTTGGTAAACATTCGCTTGTGGTGGAATCTCACCCGGCTGGACTTAGTGCGGCCAGGAAAGCTTTCCTACTTCAGGGTGTTGTTCGTAGGATGATATACAAACTGATGGATAAGCTAGAGAATCAGAATAAAACCCGCAAGTTCTACCTATATAAAATCTTGAGGTGAGCTTTCCCTTCTTCTTCTCCTGCTCCTCTAACATTATGTCAGAGCCCATATCCTACCGTTAACTAACTGTGCTTTCAATAAGTCGGGATCCAAGTTCATTACGGGCAGTTATGATCGTGAGTCATATTCAGTGTATTATCATAGTGGTGAACCTACCGGCCTTCTATTATCGAGGGGTATATGCAGCATGACTCAACCAACGTGCCAACTCATTCACTCCACAATACTCTACTTGGGGGCTTACATCTTCACCTTTTTGGGGAAATTGTCGAGATTACGGTAGTTCGTTGCGAAATTAAGAACCGTGTTAAGTTGCTAGCGAATAGCATACAGTGTAACGGTTTCCTCTCTGACCACTACGACACTCGACGTTATCATTATGCAGGTACCTGCCGAATTTGGGATACAATCACTGGGGATGAGCTTGTGAGTCTAGGTAGATGCCATAAAGGGTATCCTATTATAGGGGATTCATCCTCTTCAGAGGGCCATAGGAATGTTGTCTATGCGTTAGCATTTAATAATCCATTCGGGGACAAGATACTCACTGGTAGCTTTGATAAAACTGCGCGGATATGGGATACACAAACTGGTAGGTTAGGGATAGTATGTGAAGGAAAGCTCAGCTGAGGAGGAGGAGAAGACTATTCTCGTTGAGTATAAACTCGCATTTATAGTATCTATGAGATATCTGTTATATCAATCATCTTGTGCAATGGCCGCCGCATCTGGAATGCATTTCCTCAGTATACTCATTTATAATAGGTCAGTATTGTGATGATATAAGCCTCTGTTGTTGTTGTTGATGATAGACCACTTCATCAACCACTGGCCCGACTCAGGTCAGTGTCTACATGTCCTAGTTGGACATACTACGGAGATCGTCTGTGTAGCCTTCTGCCCTCGAGGTTAGTAGTAGTAGCAGTCCTTGGTATTGGTGTTGATCCTCTTCTTCTTGTTGTTGTTGGTTACTCAGGTGCAGTAGCAGCTACGGGTAGTATGGACAGGACGGCTAAGCTATGGTGTGTGGATACAGGTAGTATATGAATCATGATGATCAACAACCTGACTGCACCCATCGGTACATAGGAGCTATCATGGCAACACTAGAGGGTCATACGGCAGAGATAGTGAGTTTAGCATTCAATACTGAGGGTACTAGAATGCTCACAGGTGAGTCATCATCAACTAGGTGGGCCTTACCTATTCATCTGGAGGTCTATCGGATATTATATATCTCTCAGGTTCCTTCGACAATACTGCGAGACTATGGGACGTATCAACAGGGACGTGTCTGCATGTGGGTATATCATGAGGGTAGTTTACCTACTTCTTCGACTACCGCTTCATATAGGTCCTCGCTAGTCACAGTGGGGAGATTGCAGCCGCACAGTTTGACTTTACAGGAGACCTTATTGTAACTGGAAGCATTGACAGAACGTAACGGCTTGGCATAGTTGTGGTGAGGTTGTTATCCTTCCAATAGATGCAAAGTATGGGACGGTAATACAGGACAGCTATTGGACACTCTAAAGGGCCATCAGGACGAAGTGAGTAAAAGAAATCTTCTCAGTAGAAAGACGATGATGACCCTCTGTTGTAGGTCTTGGATGTTGTCTTTAATTCGACCGGCTCGAGAATTGCTACGGCGTCGGCTGATGGGACAGCAAAAGTGTAGGTATATTCCCAAGTAGAAGTACTGAATATGTTGGTCATACTGAATGTAGCTGAGTGATGGCAGCGATAGGAGGACATTGGTGCTAGGTATGATATAGAGAGAGGCAGGTGCGTGGCGACTTTGGTAGGACATGAAAGTGAGATCTCTAAGGTAGTAATCCAGGCACCTTACTAGGTGCTTTGTATAGGATTGTTGTAGGTCCAGTTTAGTCCTACTGGTTGCCAAGTACTTACAGCTGCTAGCGACCATACCTGCAGGATTTGGGATTCTATTACTGGTCAATGCTTACAGGTACTAACAACCAGGAAGCCCACGGATGATGGTGATCATCATCATCCTGCTGCTACTGTCGTCGTCGTCGTCCCACTCAGGTGCTAGAAGGACACACTGACGAGGTCTTCAGCTGTGCTTACAACTACGAAGGTCTTGGTGGGGGTTATCTTGAACCCATGTTCGTCTATTGTAGGTGATATTATAATCACAGGGAGTAAGGACAATACATGTCGTATATGGAAGGACAAT